TATATTCTTTAAATAAAATATTCACTAGATCTGCTAATTTTGGTAATTTTCTATTCGAAACCATACATGTTTTCTATTATAGTTTTCATACGTTTATAATTCTGGAGATACCGGAATATTTTGCTTGATTACTAAACTTTGGATGTTTTTGTTGTAGTCTGCTGTTAACACTATTGTCCTGAAATATTAAAAAAGCTAGACAAAGGTTTGTGTCCAACTCTTTTGTCAGCTTTGTTAATCTATGCTACTGTTATTCTGCATGCAGACATTTTTTACTGGTGATTTTCTCTAAGAACTGTATTCAGTTTCAAATTTCGGCCAGTTTTAGGAAAGTACCTCTATTGTAAAGGTATTTCAAAGCCATCCTTTGTGAGATGTAGACAACAAATACATGCTAAAATGTATAGAAAACAAATAGCAAGATATTACACAAAATTATTTAAATTAACTAAAAACATACAAATGAAGTGAATAATACCTACCAACAATTTAAAAAGACCTAAAATAAATAGACTTAAGGGACTGGAGCTCTAAAAAAGGGAGCAATAATTTGTTATGCATCATCTATAAGAAAATTGTCTTCATCTCTTCAATTACCTTTTAAAATAAACAAAACCAAAACAGCACAAAATTGAAAGTATTCTATGTACATCTGAGATTAATAATTTATTAAATTGAAATATTTTATCCTAAAAAATATGGGCATTTTATAATGGAAATGTCATTTAAAAAATGACATTGATTTTTTTTCTTATATTGGTAAACCTGGCGACTACAAGTTGCCACGTTGCCAGATCAATGGCGACTACTATTTCGAAAAAAATGGCGTCCAAAATGGACTCCTATGTCGCGACCCCCTTAGATATACCAGCCCTGGTCGTTACGTTGTTTCTAGTTACCAAATCTGAACGATGATTTCTAGTAACTTGGTATTATAATTTAGTGTTTTGTGATAAAAGAACGTATGTTGATGATTGTACCGGGTGTTTAAATTAAAGTGTTACAGTTAAATATCGCCGAAAATATGCATTTTATAAAAAAAAATATCAGAAAAGTTTTCTAGTTTTTTAGGGGAAACATTTTGGCTAAATTAATTTTTTTATAGCTGACCATGGGTCGTATGATTAAACGTTTACGTTATCCGTAACGTACATGTTAGGTTGAGTTTTAGCAGTAATGAGGCAAGCTCGTATGATGGAAAATCTTTTATAAAATATTACTGTCATTTGCCGCCAGTTATGTTCTAATTTACGAGTTTTCCATCATATAAACTTGCCTCGTTACTGTTAAAACTCGACCTAACATGTACGTTACGGATAACGTAAACGTTCAATCATAGGACCCAATAAAGGTGGATTTTTTTTTCAAATTGAAACCCTTTTTTTACATAGGTATTCTTAGAGTTCATAAAAAAATAAGAAACTTCTAAGAAAATTATTAAGTAACACCTACTTGAAAATTTTGCTGCGCGAAAAAAGTTTGCCATATTATGGTTAGCTATAAAAAAAACGATTTTGGCCCAGTGTTGCCATTGCTATTACAATTGTAACAAATCTATTACTAAAAACTTACACCAGTACGTTATTACGACTTTTAAGAAAAGAGGAAAAATCTATTACCTTTTAAAATATCAAAATTTTATGAGTGGCTCCATTTAAACTTCTAGCCCATACTTAAAAAAATTAGAAATCTAGGCATTTGTTATTTCTGTGTTTTCTTGTTTCAATAAATCCAAGATATGCGTCACTTTATTATTGTTATTGTATTATTTTTTTTTGTTATTGGTCAGTTTTTAGTTTAGTAGGAGATAACCACCAGCCTCCAGCATAATTTATGTATTGTTTTTAATAACGTAGACCCCTTCAAGACTGAAGAAATACTAAATTACAAAAAATTACCCTTAGGTGAATTTTGGGCTAACATCTTTAAAATAAAAATTAAACACTGCATGAATCAAATTTTTAAAATAAAAAAAAATAATTTGTGGTTTATTTTCGTTACCCCATTCTTTTGCAGCAGCAGAAATAATTTCTTCTCAACTAAATAATAAAGTTTTATTGTTAATAGTTATTTATGCAACAAGTGCAAAAAGTAAGTGTTTATCGCACGCGACGTGAAATTGTCCAACGAAGCCGTCAGGCCGAGTTGGACAACACGTCGAGTGCAATAAACACTTTTTGTACGAGTTGCATACAATATTTTTTCTACGTTCATGCAAAAACCAAAAAATGTTTTATAGAACTGCAGTTGTATTATCCAAATCATAGTAGCCGTGATCGTGTACCTTTGTTTGAGGCATTTATTTACGTTTGTGTTCCTAATTTGTAATGACATTTTTAATAAAATACATCTTTTTATTAATTTATTTATTAATTGATTGAAAATAATATAAAATATGCAATTGTTTTTAAAACGTAACACAGAAAATGAAAATGGACTAAATATTTGGCGTTGATTTGAATATTTATGTTTGTCATGATCATAAAATGCTGTAGTGAAATGACAGATGTGTGCAATAAAATTTTTATTGCACTAGTGCAATAAAGACCCAGTTTTTTTCACTAAATATAGTTCAATAAAGTTTTGTTTTTTGCATGAACGTAGAAAAATGTATTTAATAATAGTTCTGGTACATTTATGTTACTTTAAAATATTATCTATTACGATTTTATTACCTTTTGGTTCAAAATTCTGTTACGAAAAAATTAATTGGTGTGGCAACACTGTTTTGGCCGAAATGTTTTCCCCAAAAAACTATAAAACTTTCGTTTTTTTATAAAAGGCGGTATTTAACTTTAACACTTTAATTTGAACATCGAGTATATTTGACATTTTTTTGGAACGTAAAATAAAAATTCTACCAGTAGATATATTCATTTGTTTTTCAGAATATATTAATTATTGTTCTTAACCTTACAACATTATCAGGGGGTCGATTTTCGATTCGTAGGGAATTCTGTTTCTCGCGGGCCTTTTTCAAGCCATTTTTGCTGGTCGTATTGTATGTAGGGTTTATTTAAATGAGTAGGGATATATTAGAAAAAAACTGAGAACTATTATTTTGTTACAAATATTTATATTATAATATTTATAATTAACATAATAGTTGATATATGTCCTTTAAAAATAATATATTTTGATTTAATTCTTGAATTTATACATGAGCAATTTTCCTTGTAGCATTGTTTACATTTTGCAGAGAACTATTGTATTCTGCTTTTAGCTGATAAATCATGTACATGTAAACGGGTTGAATGTAGACAATGTTATTGTTTTTGCTACTACTGCTGGCTAGGAACGCTGGGCTGGGACACCAACACAAAAAAAACGAAGCACAAAGCACTAGATCAGTTTCTATCACTTACGCCCGTATGCACCGTACACGTTTAATCCAGATCAAGGGTTTAATCGCGTTTATTACCATAGCTAAAAATGGTACTAAACGCGATTAAACCCTTGATCTGGATTAAACGTGTACGGTGCATACGGGCGTTATACACTTACAATTTACAACCATTCAAGGAACTAGCATGTTGGAAATACTTTACGAAAACATATTAAACATAAATCAGTCGAATGCAATGTATTTTCTTCTTATAAGACACCTTTTTAGCTTGATTACTTCTAGTACTCTATTTATTCCAATGTCCTCAAATAAAACGAGCAATAATACGTAACAATAAGGATAAAACACACACTAAAGTGTATTTGGGGTATTTTTGATCTAAATTCACTATCAAAACAACAAATTTTCCGTTTTTAAGCTGTAAATGTATTACAAAAACAACTTCGATAAAATGTAAACAAAATTTTGTATTTGTGTACGAAATATGGATTGCCTGCGCATGGTAGCGAGTTTTTAACCGGATTTATGACAAGTGATAGGTTATATCCCGAAAACGTCAGCGCAGTAAAAACTGCGTGTCTTTTTCCCGCCCAGGGAGTGTCATGGGCCTGGCAACGCTCTCTTCACCGCTATGTAAAACGCATGCATTTATTCCTATTGGTTTGAATAAAACGATATGCTCGCCGCTTTATTATAATCCGGCACTAAGAAAGAACGCGTTGCAAAACAAATAATGAAACAATATAAAAATGTTTTATGGATTTTAAGTATTTTTCTTCTTAAATCATATTATTTAGTAATATTTACATTATTATATATCTAAAATTTGGCGGCACACTTTTAGACTTTCGTAGCACAGAATCACTGCTTTAGACTAACTACTACTTACACCTACATTTAATTTTTATTTAAACCCGCCTCTGACTTTTTATTTAAATGTAAATTAATGAGTAGTAGCAATCTTTAAACAACGGTAGTAGCTAACCCTTTTTATCATCAGTAGTGATTCGTTTGTCCAATAGAGGGCACAACTACATTGTACATTATTTCCTTTTTATGTTTCCCATTGTCATGATACTATTGTATTTTTCTATTTATTGACGAGCATGAGAATATAATTTATTAAACTGTTTAAAATATTAGTAGGCTAATACAATAATTAGCTAAAAAACATTTAGTTGGATAGAAAATGGTAGACATGCAATCCTCTAAAATAATGTATACTGCAGTTTCAAATTTCGTCTAATAGGTGGCAGTAAGGTCGCAAATCTGTTAAAGACGAGCGTGAGTTGTTTTGACGTTGTTCTTAGTTTTCAATTCTTTTCGATTTGCATATATTGATAATAATTTGTTATGGATTTTCAATCAAGAAATATGTGAGTATTCTTTTTATTTTTCAATTACTTCGTTTTACTTTTCAATTTTATATCGTAATTTGAAGGCATTTGGTATCGGTAGTCAAAATAAGTTGTATTTAGTAAGTTTGTGAAATTTATAAAACATTGTACGTTATTGTCACTTATGAACTAGAAGCAAATTTAAACGGCTTAATAAGTACATACTTAATCTATTTTTATCAATATTACCTATTTATGCACTAAAAATGATTGCCTATGTATTTGAGAAATCAAGGTAGTTTTGAATTTGAAGTTTCCCTGGCTTGACGTGCATCGTTAGTCATTTCAATTATCTAATCATTCAATTTTCTTTATTCAAACAAAATGTAAAAAAGTCTTTTGCTTTGTTTTATTTAAAATATTGGAATTCAGTGTATTTTTTTGTTTCAAATGAGAAACAAATAAAACCACCACGATTTAGGTTAACTTTGACTAGCGTGGTAGGTATATTACAAACGCGTTACCAAATTCAATTGAGACCCTTTGGAGATTAAATGGAACAACAAGAATATATTATGTCGGAAGATATGAATTTTCAATCGTTTAATGATGTTATTCCTGCTGAGGGGTAAGATGTTAATATAATAAACAGGTATCTAATTGTAGATTTTTTATTTTTTAAATAGAAATTGCATAATTAAACAAAAATATTTGCTATGTTAGGAAGATATTAGACAAATTATATACCAGTGGCGTAGATATATCATTTTTAATTATTGTTAACTTTGTTGGAGGGAATTTCAATTTGATTTATATGCTTTTTGTCAATCTGGATAGAAAGTCCAAGTATGTAGGTAGGTACTTTAAAATTATTTTTTTTTCGATTTAAGGCGAAAACAGATGTAAACAATTAGTATAATATGTAGATTTAGTGAATTTTGTTTTAAAAGTAAAATATCAGCTTTTAGAGAACTAGAGGTATTTAAACAAAAACTAGAAATCGTGAATAGATGATTTTAATAGTTATTGCACTTTTTATAGAAATAGTTCACACTTTTTTTCATAAAAAAAACATATTTTACTCAAACAAGTAATTTTTGGATAAAAAGTGTTACTGTAAAAAAATGTTAAAATAGTAGTTTGTGCAAGAGTGAATACGGACAATTCTTAAGTCCTATAGTATATTTTTTCTACTACTTACTAAAATTTACAAAATTTAAAAAATAATTTATAGGTTTATAAAATGAAATAAGTATTATTAAAAAAAACTGATTTTAAATTATCTTCATCTTAGATTTGAACCCGGACCTTTCGATAGGAACTAAGTATGCTATCTCTGCGTTAACGAAACAAACAAGATGTTTTTTTTTTATTATTTATTTGTAAATATAGACGAATATCTTGTGGAATGCTATTATTCAGGGCTGGATTTACCATTACAGCGCCCCTAGGCCCGAATAAATTTGGCGCCCCCCCCCCCCCCCCCATCATATACTGATGATTTTGTTGTCTGAAATAAAATTTATTTAAATAAATACTTGTTAACAGCGAACTAATCATTTATTTAAAGATAATTCTTTGGATTATTTATAATATTAAATATTAATAACCTTTTCCAATTTTGTTTTTTGTTAGCACTACGAGTTTCGCCCCTTAGTGTTAACACAAAACATAATTGGAAAAGGTAAATAATGTTTAATATTACAAGTAACCTCAATCGAATTCAGGGCCAATCAAATGAAAATAATAATTCTTTGAGCCAAGTGAACAATCAGTTTTATGTAGAAATAAAAACTACAACTATATAATACATAAAATGTGAACAATACAGATATATAAAACCTTCTTGCTTTCTTTCGCGCAAATTTTTCTACTGTAGGAAGTAGTTAGTCTCCCCTCGATGGCGAGCAGGGCTAGTGATGTCAAACTGTCGTGGCTAGTTGTGAATTTCAGGTAGTTCTTCACACGACGAAGGGTGGAAAAGGATCTTTCTGCTGAACAGTCAGTGGCTGGAGCACTAAGAACCATTCTTAACGCAATGGCAATGTTAGGGTAGACTTCAACCATGTCAAAATTATACAAAACCTTGCTAATTTCAGTCATACTCGTTCTGGTATTTTCGTTTTCAGTTTTTCAACAAAAATGCTTTTACATGTAAATACTCGTCCGCAACAACATGATACGCACTCGATAGTTTTCTTGCACATTTGTTGATATCAGATGTCTCAAGACTTTCGATAGTTTCAAGAAAATCAAACCTATTGTGAAGATCAGAATATTTACACTCACGTTTCTTAATTTCAGAGTATAGGGAGTCCAATATGCAGTTAAAAGTATTAACACGGAAGTTTTCCGACCCTGTAAATTGATTATCACTGCTAGGACCACCATATTCACCAAACTTAGTAGGTACCTTTCTTTTGCGCCGATTACACTTCTCATTCGCTGATCGTTCCAGGTCATCAAAGTTGTTCCTTACTTCTTGAAGAAAACCACACAAAGAGTCGTAATAGGCAACTATTTTCCCTAGCTCTGTAATTTCGTACTGTAGCTTTACATTTACTTTATTAAACCTTTCCAGAATTGAACCCCACAGTGCTGCCATAATGGTTGTCTCTAGGGAACTTAGCTTTTCATTTATAGTCCTGGCTTCATTTCTTGTGGAGTGCCTCTCGTCACACTAGCAACTTCATCTAAACTTTTAAAAATTACCTCTTTGGTTTCATTAACAGCTCGGCAGGCGTCGTGACGAGCAGACCACCGAGTCTTTGAAAGGTTTTGCAACTTTAATTCTGTTTCTTGTGGTGAAGCGCTAAAAAAGTTATACAGCTCCTGCAGTAATCCAAAAAAGGAAATAGCCTCCTTGCATGACTCAGCTGCACACGAGCCTACTAGGTTTAAGGAATGCGCAGAACAAGGTACATACTCCGCCAGAGGACTGATCTGTTTGATACGAGCTTGAACTCCAGAGTAAATGCCTGACATATTCGAGGCGTTATCATATGATTGGCCTCTACAATTGGAAATGTCCAAATTACATTTTTCAAAAAGGCCCAATACTGTGTTTACTTTCTCTTCTGTTTTGTGACCAACATTTGGCACAAAACAAATAAATATCTATCGGCATGCTATCAATAGCAACATATCTAATTACGAAGGTAAGTTGGTCCACATGTGAAATGTCCGGCGTGGGGTCTAATATAATGCCAAAATACAATGCCAAAGTATTTTGCTTCTTAAACTTCTTTTAAAATTGTGTCCCTAACTTCTTCTGCCATAAGGGCGATAATTTCTTTATAAGTAGTTTTCGAAATGTACGACGTACTACCCGAACCTTGGTCGCCGTATTGACGTAAATGATCGGCCATAAAAGAGTCGAATTGGGCTGGAAATTTCAGAAGTTCAATGAAGTTTCTGCAGTTTATCTAAGTGTTCATCAGATCCTCGGAGAGCCAACCCTTGCAAAATTAAATATTTAACAGCTGTCACCACTCTCTTAAGTACCTCCCTACAATAGTGGACTTTAAGTTCTATTTTTAGTTTTTCTAAACTGTTTTCATGGTCTTTTACACATTGATTAGCATTTTCCAGTCCTTGAAACCGTTTGGAAATGCGCCCTTGTTATCCGACTCGTCAAATATCTTACACGGAACGCAGAAAACGGAACCTTTTGATGGTGAATAAACCATCCACGCTGTTTTTTTCTCAATTTTGAAGTTTTTTCGTAAACAAACTCTTAGACAGGAAGCGAATTTAATCTACGGTCTTTTGGATTCATTAAAATCGGAGTCACTATTTTGCTTTACACTACTTTGGGTACAAATATAATCTCTTAGTTCATCACTTACATCCCATAAACACGGATCGGAACTCAAAAAGTCTGCACTACCTCTACCACGTTTTACATGAACTCCGTCTTCAGCATCAGCAGATTTATTTTGAAGTTCTGGTACAAGATCGGGTTCAAAAGCAACTTCTCCGGCGTTGAAACTGTTAGAAGCGTCATGGGAAAGAGCCTGTACATTTTCACGGTAACCATCATTACTAACTTGACTTTGAACATTTCGTGAAAAAAAAAAAGTTGTTATTTTAGGAACTTTTTTAATAACTTTTTTATTTTTCTCATCTTTTTCTTCGCGCATTTTTCTAAACTCTACACCACTAGGTTTTGATTTAAAGCTCATTATTAAACACTCATGATTACTTTAACAATAATAAATACTTATTTTCAACAATAAAGTAATGCCGTATGGACCACATTGTAAAAGTTGAATATTAAGATAACGCAAATCAGCATTAGAAAACACGCGAACAAAGCACAGATTTAAAACAAAGCACTGGGGTGACTTGACTAGTGACAACGACCCACGACAACGACAAGTGACTAACTAACTGTAAACTAAAACATTTGATTTCGATTTTTTTTTTATGACAGTGCGCCCCTTGTAGCCGTGCGCTCCTAGGCCCGGGCCTAGTGGGCCTAGTGGTAAATCCATGCCTGCTATTATTTATTGATTCTTCATAAGAATCACGGATTTTCATTTATATATGATCTCAATAACTAAAAAATACATTGACAATTAGTTTGACAGAATTTTTTAAAAAATATTAACAGCTCGATCTCCAAATATGTACTGTAGGGGAACGTGGGGACGTTTGGGTCACTTTTAAAAAAATTGCAAGATTATTTGAAAATTGAACAGACTTTAATGTAGGACAATTGTACTTAGTAATCTTTGACTATTAATGTGTATAAAATTTTTCTAAATGTTAGAACATAGGATCATTAGAAAATACAAAAAATTCAGAAGTAGCTATCTGAATCAAACTTCCCTTATTATGGGAGGTATGAGTCAATTAATGGTGGTTGAATGGGTCACTGACTATTTGTGATGTTTCAGATGCAAATTTGAAAACCTTTTAGTAGATATATTGCATACAAAAGTCAAAGTAAGAATAGAAATAACGAAAAATAGGGAATCCTAATACAAATAGGTATCATATGAGACACAAACTATAAAGGCATTTTTATTTAAATTTTAAAAACTGCTTGAGTCAATATCAAAATTAATAAAGCTTTATGTTCTATTAGTACCAGTAGTCACTTTATTCGTATAATTTGTTTCCTTGCGCAAGAAATTAATCCCATAATTTCCTTGTTATTTAAATTCTATATATTTCCAATATAATGCAGACAGGTTCGCTTTGTAGGAAATTTGATAACTAGGGGAATGAGGTATATACAGGGACGGTTTTTTCTTTCGTTGATTAAAATTACATTTTCTCAATAAGAAAATTGATTATTTTTTTTTGAGGTAGATTTGGTCAATACTTATATTTCTATCGAGATAAATACAAGGAGTATAAGTCAAATATAATGATTTTCCAGAAAACGCCTCCAAAGTTTTCTGAATATCTTTCCCTTGTATGCATAAAATTTATTATACGTTTTCCGTAAGACAAATATGTTTTATTTTATTGAAAGTTATTAAACAAAAAAAAAAAATAAAAATATTATGAAAATCGGTGACTTATACTGTTAGGATTTTCTACCACCATTGACTTATACTTTTAATCTAGTTTGATTTTCATAATCTATCTACTTATTAACTACATTTTTTTATAAAA